CATGACCTCAGTAGCATAACAAGTGACACTGCTCTAACAATACCGGAAGTTGCTAAAGTAAACACTATCGCATGCCAGACTATGCGTTACTAACAAATAACTAGCTAGAACAATAACAACAATGCAAACCTTGACATGCTGGTCTGAAATACGCTTTTCAAAACAACTTTAGCGGCATGTACTTTTTGATGGCAGGAGACTTGTTGATGTGACTTTGTCGAGGGTGTCGGTATCATCCTCCCAGTCCAAGTCTTCACTGTCGCTGTCAATACTACTGACTCCGTCACTTTCTCCCGTAACAGTTTCTGGTGGAGTTCAAGCTCTGCATGCTTTCACAAACCCTACAAGAAAACACACAAACATACACAATGTAAGAGTGAGTGAGGAGTGAGTATGGATTTACAACGCTTTTTAGCATTATTCTTGTAAAAGATCATGGCAAGCGCCTTCGCATGTTGGATCCATCTGGGAAAGTGAACCCTCTCTTAGGAGTGATGAACAAAAAATGGAATGGTTTATTGAGTTTTCACACACACAAGATACATCCATGCCGCCATGTGCTTTTACTCGACTGCACATTAGGAATCGGAAAACAGGAGAAAACTGACCCTGAGGCATCGGTCATCGCGTTACATCGCGTCAAGCATGTAAACTCGGTTGAGGGATTTACAGCTAGTTAACAATCTCCCCTTAAAAAATAAAAAATTAAATTGTCGAGTTGGCGTAATAGCATTCACAAATTAAAAACATATCTATGCACTGATATATACATGTGAAGTATTAAATAATTTTTTGCTACAATTTTTTTTTTTTTAAGTAGAAATTAAAAACGGACTGGTTAAAAAAATTAAAAGTTCAAATGTTGAAAGTGCCTTCAACCAGTCTGTGAGCTAGTAACATCAGGACTAAGACACAGTTCAGTTCTTTCACTTGTATCTAGGAATGTTTTATTGTCGTTAGGTCCAGGGTTCCATCATGTATCGCTTTCAATAATAGAAGCGATGAGGCTCCATGCTTTGTGAAACAGTCTGCAAGTTGATCATTGGTAGGAGACCAATGCACACCAGTAATTTGACCATTTCCAATGAGTTCTTTGATTCCACTTATCTCAAGTCTCAGGCGTTTGTCAGACACAAACTTTGTGGACTTGACTGCATCAAAGAGAGTGGTTATCTACAATGCACTGTATTGGAAGTCTTGCTTCGTCAGTCTCACCAGTTGTAACCTCTGAATAGAGGGTGCTGAGGAATATTCGTTATCTATTCCATCCGCCAATGCAAGTGTCTCACCGGCTAGCGTGCTTCTCACAGCGCCTGATTCTCTTTGATTGCCAACACAAAGGGAAAACTTGCTGTCATCTCCCAGTAGCATAGCGATGTGACCACCTTGTGTAAGCCCCATCAGGCAAATTGCCCAAAGAAGCATCACTAAACACCACTAAACCTAGAGATTCACAGGGTCCAAGATGTTGGAACTTCAGGGTCACATCTTCATTTTTAGTTTTCTGATGACTTTATTGGCTTCCATCATATTTTTCACGTAGCTTTGTTCATAGGCGAAGCCAGGCAGCATGCATCAAAACTATGTCCGGTCTGCTCTGTCGTGCTATCCATAAAATTTGTCCAACCTTTGATCTGAACATCTCAAGTTCAGGCGTGCTCAGGAATGCTTCCTTCTTTAACATTCTATCCTTATCTATGTTCAGGCGAGTCAGGTTTCTCGCGTAGTCATGTTGATGAAGAAGAATAGTCTCATTGTCACAGAGTAGTTTCATGCCGACATACTTGAAGGTGCTCTGTTCTTCACGTCCAACATTGAGCGACTCTCTAATAGATGCAGCGACAGTTTCTTCAAACTCTAAAGTACGCCCCAAACAAAAGTAGATCCACATGGCTAGCAAGCACACCTTGCAGTTTTCCATTTGATATGTAATAGAACACTGCGGGGTCAACTTTAGATACTCTTGCCCCACTAGACTGCAGAACTTCACAGACCCTGGTATACCAATACAGTGATGCATCTGCCAAGCCATAAACACATTTCTGTAGTTTCCACAGGACTCCTTTCACCTGAGCTTCCCTTGGGGGGCGAAGGTAAACATCTCTGGTTAAAGCTGAGCCCTGTAAAAATGCTGTCTTGATGTCCATGGAGCATGGAGTCCATTTCTGTTGTGCCATAATGGCCAATAACAGCCGTAAAGATTCTGTTGAACATGTTGGAGAATCTTTTGGCAGGTTTCTGTTCTCTATTTCTTCGAATCCTCTGGCAACCAGACGAGCTTTGGGGATAATTTTCTTGGAACTTTCTTTCAGAGTGCATATCCACCTTGTTGTTATATATTTCTGTCCATCATCCTGAACTTCAACAAACACATTGTTCTCTTTCCAATTCAGTAGTTCAGCCCTTTTAGCTTCATCAAAGGATACATTGTCAACAACACAAACATTTTCTTCTTCTTCAACATTGTCAGCATCTTGGTGATGATCATTAGAAATATCCAGCTCCAAATCACCCAGCTTACTAATGTCAACAGATATTCTTGCTCCTGAAACGTCATCTGGGCTCAAATACTCAATATTGTACCAGTCTTTGTTTCTACCTGTTGACTTGCCAGCTCGACTCAACACTTTGGCTATACACATATTTCCTGTCCTTTCATCACGGAATTTCATCACATGTCCAATGTTTGGTCTCTGACATGGTTTGTCTTTTTCCTCTTCATAATCATGATAGTCTTTATTTTCATCCTCGACTTCAGCGGCTTCTGGTTCCAGAGTCTCTTCTTCTGATCAGTCTCCTGGTCAGTATTTTGCTTTGTCCTGTGAACATTCTCCAGCAGCACTTTCTGCAGGCGACTATGATGTACTCTGACATGTGAGCCTCCATGTCTAACAAAGACAACTGCTCCATCTTGACCAATGGCGACACCTGGCCCTTTCCATTCCATCTGGTCAGGCGTTTATAATAAACTCTGTCTCCTGTGTCATATTTGGTCTCTCCACGTAATGCGGATCTGTTTCGAAGTGCTCTCATTATCCTCTCTGAACATTCTGCCTCTGTAAAGGCCTTTCTTGCTGAATGCAGGGCGTTGATGTGAGATCCAACTACCTTGCTCATTGTCTTTCCTTCAAGTGCTGGGGGTTTGTCGCATAAGACTGATGGCAAATTGGGGTTCTGCCCAAAAACTAACTGGCATGGGCTGTATCCATGAACATTCTGTAAAGAGTTCTTGGCCATCAAAGCCCAAGCAATTGCAGTTTCCCAGTCACAATCATTCTCCCATTTCACTTTCAGCAACATCTGTGTGAGTGTTTGGTTGTGTCGTTCCAATAGTCCATTACTCCAAGGGCTATAGCGGCAGTAGTCTTCACAGTGATATTGAAATTTTCTGCCATGTCCCTCACTTCGAATTATTAAACTCTCCTCCATTGTCACTGTACAATTTTAAGTGGTGGCCATGAATTCCAATCCAGTATCGAATGAAATTAGCAACAAATTCTGAAGATGCCTTCGATCTGGTTATACATCCTGCTGGCTGAAGCGTGTAAATTCATCTATGATGTGGAGGTACCAGATGCCCTGTCCTAATTCATGTAGGTCAACAGCCACTGTCTCATTATATTCTGTCGCCAGTGGAAACCCTACAATCGGTTTTATACAGGGTCTTTTTATGCTGCATGCAAATGTCACACTTTCGGACGATTTCTTCTAGTATAGTGAATGTCTCTACATCCTGACTTCCGGCTCTTCAACAGCTGTTTTAGTCTATCACTGGGCATGTCCAAACTGGACGATGAAGTTTTGTTAATGTCTTCTTCTTTTCTTCAGTTGTCATACAGTCGGTGACCTTAAAGTACTTCATTTTCTGTTGCACTCTCTTCACTGGGCTCTCTTTGTTCTCTTCTGTTTAGGATATTGACACAATAGTGTCCACTTGATGTAAAGTCTAAGACCACAGGCTGTCCAAACATGACTGCACTATCATTCATCAGATCGAGAATGGTTCCAGCTTTCTTAAGAGATGACTTACTGAGAAATAAGGGCAAGTCTACCTTAACTACTTCTGTCTCAATATTGCAGGTTGTTTTCCAATTCTTGCTGGCAAAGAAACAGTCTGATCTGAATACACAATATTTCCATCGTAAACTTGAATGCCTTATTGCTTTCGGTTTCTTCTTTACCAAATCCCTATCTTGGCGGTCAATTTCAGACATGTAACTTTCAAGCCACTTCTTTCCACAGACAGTTCTTGTGCATGCTGTATCAATAATTGCCGACCCCTGAGATTCTACCACAAAAATTTCAAAATCTGTCTTGTACTGTTCTTTTGTAAACAATGTGATGTTACAATGTTCTACATTCTCAGGCACACTGTCAGGATGAATTTCTTCTGTAAGACGAACTGATTCTTTCTTCTCTGGACAGTCTTTTACCCAATGATATGTACTCTGACAGACAGCACACCGGGACCGTTTTCCAAACTTATTGATAGGGTTTGTACCTCTCGCTGGTGCATTATTCTGTGAGTTACTTGAGCTTGAACTGTTCCTGTCATAGGGTTTCTTGTCATAACCTCGATTCCTCTGTCCTGACTTATGTTGGGTCCAATATGCAGATTCTTGTTTAATTTGGATTGCTTCTGTTCCTATGTTCTGGTTCATACTGCCCCAAAGATTCTTTTCATGGCACTCTTCATAGAAACAAGCGACAAATCTCCACAAGCTGTCAGTGCTAATTGTCTTTCTTTTACTTCTAAATTTGCATTGTCCAATAGTTTGAATGCTAATACTGCGTCCGATAGTGTCATATCAAACTTTCTTGACCTGTTGTACCTCTGTTGAATTCAAAATATATTCAGTCATATTCACACTGTCTAATTTCTTGAAATTTTCAAAGTTGAATAGGCTTCATATGCACTTTCTTTCTTTTCTTTCAAGAATGCACCATCCAAGGAATTAAGAAGCGTATCCATTCCATTTTCATTATCTAAATCGCCGGCTGGAATTTCTAGTGCTTTGTCTCTCGCCTTACCTGACAATGATAATGTTACGCTAAGGCCTGCTTCTCGGGTTTCAGTTCCGTAATTCTCCGCCATATTGCTATCTCTGTCTTCCATTAAATTCGATGCGTTTGACTTTCAAACCCGGTGGCATTTTGTAGAATGTAGCCATTTTCTGTTGTCTACACGCACACTATAAGCTTTCTGTGTCCAACTTTTGGTTGCGGCTCTGCTACCAATGTTAAATGGTTTTATTGAGTTTTCACACACACAAGATACATCCATGCACGCCATGTGCTTTTACTTTCGACTGACATTAGGAACCGGAAAACAGGTGGCACTGACCCTGAGGCATCCGGTCATGCGCTGTTACATGCGAAGCATGTAAACTTCGGTTGGGGATTTATTAAGCTAGTTAACAGTCTTGGTGGCTGAGTGGGTTATATTGATGCCTATGCATGCTTGCAATTTGATTCCTCACTCAGTGGGTTCTAATCCAGGATGGGACTAAACCACCCAAATGTAATCAAATTGGTATTTACTAAGAAAGTGTAATCCTAAGCGTACCATCTGTTACCCACAAGAAATGTCTAGATAAGCAGGTGTCATTCTGGAAGTGATATCTTGTGAAAGAAAGGGGTTTACTTAGAACATTTAATAGAAGAAAGTTGATAAGCATCTATATACAAACAAACAACGTGAGAGGCATTAACATAGGAATTGTTCGGCCTGTTTGCCAATCCTTTTTGTTCATTCTGTATTGTCTTTCTAATGTATTGTCTTCATTTTTAATAAATACTGTTTAAACTCTATACACACAATGTATCAGAAAACATAATTTGTCTCCAACAAACAATCACAAAAAACCCAAACAATAGAGTTATTTCACTGTAGAACAGCCTACCTGTAGTTCGCTTCACAGTGAGACTTCTGACATTGGTTGAGATAGGCTTGATCTTTCCTTCTGGGATCACAGCTCTGAAAAGCATCACACCCAAATCATGCTTAAGACCAAAATACTGATCTGACAATTTATACTTTTGTAAGCACTTTACATCAGGAATAAGTTCGCTATAGAACTATAAAGGCTATATTTACAAGACAATGAATCTTGTGTCAAGTGTCAACTTCTTACATATTCTTACACATGCTCAGGCTTACCGACTGGATTAATGCATGTCATTATAACCCAGTCGTGTAGTTTGATGCAAACATCAGCCACAATATCATCTGGTCCAGACTGTAATTTACAAGCCTTTGGCACAGACGTGTAGCATTGCTGAGTGCAGTAATAACAACAAATCATCAGAAAATATTAATTATTTGATAGTAATATTTACGCAATTTAAACCATGTAATCTATGCATACTATTGTTGAACACTGTTCTTTTTTTGGTTTAAAGCTCAACATTTTCCAGGTTATGACAATGACCAGAAATAATCAGACTGACTGAGTTTAGTTTTACACCGCTTTAGCAATATTCCAGCAATATCATGGGGGACACCAGAAATGGGCTTCACACATTGTGCCCATGTGGGGAATCGAACCCGGGTCTTCGGCGTGACGAGCCAACGCTTTAACCACTAGGCTACCCCACCGCCCCTAGAAATAATCAGAACCAGACAAGCCAATGGTTGATATAATGAGCATTGCCCTATGCTGTGTATGTACAGTGACACTCATTCAACCAAGTCACCAAGTCTGACCAATCAATCCATGTTGTCCCTTTTTATAATAGTGAGTGAGTGAGTGAGTGAGTATGGTTTTACGCCGCTTTTAGCAATATTCCAGGGGACATCAGAAAAGGGATTCACACATTGTACCCATATGGGGAATCAAACCCGGGTCTTCTGAGTGATGAACGAATGCTTTAACCACTAGGCTAACCACCGACTCCCTTTATAGAATAAGGGAATTACTGGGGCCCTATTCTTAACCCAGGGAAGTAACTGTGCCATACCGTTGGTGGTATCCTCCAAAGAATCGAACATCATATTTTCCGCCTAAAACCTTTATTACTTTTGCTGGCCAGAAACTAAAGCCTTTCTGCTTAGCATACACAAGTTCATGGGCAGGATTCTGAAACATTCATTTGGAAAATTATTCATGCATTCAACAAGTGACAGTTCATATTGTCACTTCCATTTCAGGAAATAATACATTTCTGAAAATAATCTCCCACAAAAACTTCAACAATATCAAGGAAACTTAACTAAACCTGTAGAGGTTTCCAATTCTTTGAAGAGAATCGTCCTAGGGGTACATATATGCATTTTCTGTGGATGAAAATGTCATGTGATAGTTGTATCAATGTTTTAATAAAAATATTGTACAATAAATAAAAATCTTTTTTATCTATTATACGGCCCCCACCACGTGGAGTTACCTCCCTGCTACCCATGCGCAGCCAACCAGGTAAGAATTGACGAGAGGTGGGTGGCCCTACCCCAAGGACGATTCTCTTCAAAGAATTGGAAACCTCTACAGATTTAGCTAATTCTTTTTCATAGAGATCGTCCTTGGGGTACATATATGCATTAACGCAGACTCCCAAAGACCGGAGGCGGGGGAGGAGGGAATTCTGTCAAAGTACACATAAATAGCGATCGTTAGGAAGAATGTAACAGACGCCACAACACTCACCTGTCACGTGTCCCGAAGCTTCCGCGAGAGGCATGATGGGAGGGTAACCGACAGGGAGGAACGTACTGACATCCGACCTCACAGGTTAAGCAAAGCATGTCGCACACAGTGCGAAAGTAAAAAACCCCATCCACATCGTGAATTTATTAAAGAGCACTGTAAGGGGGAAAACCAACTCACAACCGACTATTATCTCATGAGAGATATCAAAAGTAGTTAGATATGATAACAGTGGATATATCAATTATACACAATTGAAAGCAGCGTCATCTGTCCAAATAACCAAGACTCACTCGGTCAGTGGCAGGACACTGTCCACTGGAAAGAACAGAACGGCCAAAACGCGCTCGATCACGAGAATGTGTATCGAGCTGATAGTGCCTGATAAAAGTGCTAGGCCTGCTCCAAATAGCGGCAGAGCATATCTCTTCAATGGGCAGTGCCAATGCAAAAGCCTTTGAAGTGGCCACTGCCCTGACTAAGTGAGCCTTCAACCCCTCAGGGGGAGGCTTGCCCTTAGCCTGACAAGCAGCACAAATGACCGATACAAGCCAGCGAGATAGGGTCTGTTTGCTAGCCGGCATGCCAGCCTTCCCGCCACCGTAACAGCAGAACAGATGGGTACCCGTATGGATCCCTTGTGTTCGTTTGATATAGACCTTGAGGGTCTTACGGACATCCAGTGGTCGAGTGCTCGTTGCAGAGGTCCCCGTTGTGGAAGGCTGGGTAAGAGTAGGAGTTCGATAGGAGCTGTCACATGGAAAGTGTGATCGATCTTCGGACGGTAAGTATCCGGGAGGCGAATACTGACACCATCTGGATGGAAGACAGTCAGCGCCGGGTCTGCTGACATAGCATGTAAGTCGCCAACCCTTTGCCCAGATGTTACCGCCACCAGAAATACGGCCTTCCATGTTAACAGCTGAATGGAAATAGCCGATAGACGTGAGAACGTAGGACCGGACAGCCAATCTAGCACGATTGACAAATCCCAAGGTGGGCTGGTTCGCCTGACAGCAGGTCGAACCCGATCCATGCCAGCTAAAAAGCGCTGCATAAGAGGGAGCTGCCCCAGACGAGCACCATCGACAGGGGTGTGGAAAGTGGAAATAGCGGTGGAGTAGCCACGAATGGTCGAAGCCGCCAAGCCTTCTTCCATACGAGCTTGCAGAAACTCCAATACTCGGACTAAATCCGCAGAAAAGAGATCTGCAATCCCCCTATCTGAACACCAGCGCGCAAAGCGGGACCACCTATCCTCATAAACGTTTGTGGAATCCCGCCTCCAAGCCAGAATTGTGTCTGTAACTGCTGCAGGAATTTCGCGTGCTTCAAGGCTAGACCTGACAGAGGCCAAGCCACCTACTGAATGCTTGGATTTGGGTATGGCGCGCCGTTCTGAGTGAGAAAGTACCGAACTGGCTGGGTTGACAGCTGGGAGAAGACATGGAGAATGAGTGGCAGAAACGCCCACAGCACCTTGCCCGTCCAATCCAGCAGGAAGGTGTCGGAAGCCAACGTCCTCTGGTCTGGTATTCGAGTGCAGAACACGGGTATCTGATTCGTCCCGCCGGACGCAAACACTGAAACAGATCCACCTGGAACGATCTGTACAACTGGGAGATAACTCCGAACATCTGCCGGTCGAGCATCCACTCATGCGGGACCAGGATCCGGCAAGAGAGAACGTCTGCTCGCACGTTCTCCAGCCCCGGGAGAATCACCTGACAGTCGTACTGGTCGCACCAGAGGAGAAATTCCCACGTCTCCCGAAGGAGCGCTAGGGACACCGTGCCGCCTTGCTTCAGGATGTACGTCATGGCCGTACAGTTGTCCAACTGAAGACGAACCACCTGGCCCTGAACATGCTCCCGGAAGTGCTCGAAAACCAACCGCACAGCTCTCAGTTCTAAGACATTGATGTGAAGGCAGGCCTCGACTTCGGACCAGAGTCCGGACACAGACAGACTGCCCAGAACACACATCCCCACCCCCCACCCCGTGAGGGACGCATTGGTTTGATCTGTAAGAGATGGCGTCGGGATTTTCAAAGGGACCCCCTTGGAGAGATGAAGGTGAGGAGACAACCACCCGGGGACTGTGAGACACTTCTCCAGGTCCTCCGAGTGAGCCCACAGACTCGCCAAAGCTTGCTGTATAGGGTGCATCCTCAACCGCCACCACGCGACAGAGATAGTTGCTGCCATATGACCCAGTAGACGGAGCCAAGTCCACGCTGGTGCCTGGGGCCAGGAGAGGAACGAAGACACCATCTCCCATACTCTGGTGACCCGGTCGGGCGACAAAGAGACAAGACCCTTGTGAGTTGTGAACCGCGCACCAAGAAAAACCAAGTCATGGGTGGGTACCAGGTCGGATTTCTTGAGGTTTATGATCCACCCAAGTCAAACTAGAATGTCTATCACCGTGTGGGTAGAATCTAGGCTCGCTGGCTGAGTTAGAGCAACCAGTCGTTTAGGTAGGGGTAACAACGCCTTCCTTGCGACCTTGCGAGGGTAGCTGGCACTAACATGAGCTTGGTGAACATCCTGGGGGCAGTGGATATGCCGAAGGGGAGCACCGTGAATTGGTAACACATCCCGTCGTAAGAGAACCGGAGGTACTGCTTGAACGAGGCATGAATTGGCACATGTAGATACGCATTCTTTAGGTCGATCGACGTAAGCCAATCGCCGGGCTGAACAGAGGAGATCACCGAGCGAAGTGTCTCCATCTTTAAGGATGGAACCTATCACATGCGATTCAACCCTTTGAGGTTGAGAATGGGACGGGACCCGCCGTCCTTCTTCGGAACGAGGAAGTACGTGGAATAAAACCCCGCCAATTCCTCGCCCGGTTGTATGTGCTCTATTGCGGACTTGTCCAGCAAAGCCTGAACTTTGTCGCGCAGTATACCCGCCTTGACTGGACATGACGGCACCTGAGTGCGCCTTATGCCGGTGAACTCTGGCGGGCCTCGCTTCATCAGTGGTAGATGTCCGACACTGACGGTAGATAGCACCCAAGTGTTGCTGGTAGCCTTCTCCCACTCCGGTAGGAATAGAGAGAGGTGGCCTCCCACTGGGACATGTGGTAAGAGTGTGTGAGTGGCCCCCTGCAGATGAACTGGCTGGGACGGACCCACGGCGACAGCCCCAACAACCGGCACAAAGAACAGAGAATCATCCCCCAGCTGATACCTCTTAACGAGTTCGGGTAGATCGAACCGGAGGCGAGAACCAACCAGGATGGGATCCATCACATCCTGCACCAGGGAAGGCAATATACGGAGCTGTGTCTGAGAGGGCTGCCTAGGGGCAAACGCCTCACCCGGAAGGCAGAACTCAGTCGAGTCCGAGCGACATGTCGGCACCGCGGCTTCAGGGAATATACTCGGCAATACGTTGCCTAACCTCCCGGAAAGCCGACGAAAAACAGAAAGTACCCTCCGACTCCTCGACCTGCCCAACCTCCATAGACTCCGCACCTGAGCCTGAGTCAGAATTCGGATCTCCACGTGAAGAGGAGCCGAACCCCGACCCGGTGGGAGGCCGAGCCACAGACGCCGCAGGAAGGGAAGAGCCGAAGGGACTCTCAGCTCCGGACACCGACACAACACTCGAACCCTGGTCCCGAGACACGTGAGGAAGGCCCGGGCAGAACCGGCTCCTCCGCTCTCATGGGGTGGGGTGGCGCAGGAACCGGAGCCCCAGGAATCCTCAACGGACCCTGTACCAACACAGAGAGAGGGACTGGGAGCGAACCCTCTCCCTCCGGGGCAGCTGAGGCGTCTGGACCCGAAGCCAAAGGCAAAGGATCGACAGACGCCTCCAGGCCAAGGGATCGAGCCGAGCTCGGCGATCCCACCCTGGACTCTCGGTTCCCCGATCAGAGTGGGCGAGGAACTCCTGACAGAGACCTCCAACAGACTCGTGAACGAGGGACTTCACGGAGTCCATATGCTGCTGAAACAATTGTGTGATAAGTGAGATATCAAAACCACTGGATGGAGACGGAGAGTGCGACCTATGCGAAGTAGACATAGATTGAGTTTGTTTAGCCTTTTTGGCCTTGGACGGGGGAACCTCCTGGGTCAAGTCCCCTCCCGCCTCATGCAATTCCTCATAAAATAGGAAGTCAGCTGCCCATGCACAACTCACAGATGTCAGGGTTATGCCCTACCTTCTCAGCATAAGAATTTGTCATGCTTATCAGAATGGGGAATATTTTGCCCGCAGGCAGCACACCCGTAAACGCCTGAAAGCAAACATGCAAGCATGTAGCTAACGGAGTAACACAACAGCATAAATATACACATACAAAACATTGAAAATTATGTGAATGCGACAACGCGACATGAAATACTTGGTTAATAACGCAATATTACAACCACGTGGCACGCTAAACTTCCCGCCATGGAATAGCAACACGTGCGTAAACCACAGGAAAGCTAGCGTAAAAGGTTAATACAAAGTCACATAAATGAGAAATAACAGACTGCCAAGTCCATAAAATGTTTCTCAAAACGAATAAAGACCATACATACAGTTGTTGAAGTCTCAGACATTCTTCGACAAGAAGTAAATAAGCTAGTAACTCTCGGGTAAATACGTGTGAATGCTACAGTGACAGCAGAAGGAATGGTGATACGGGCCTAGGTGCTTACCAGAGGAGTGTTCAGAACCGCGAGCGCCCGCACGAATGCTCCTCATCGAGCCTGCGATCGCCCTGAACGGACGCTGAAGCGCTTGGTTACAATAAACCATTCGTGAACGACTCGTGTTGTTCCGGGACAAGCCGAATAGCTTCTTTATTATATTCTTAAGGGTGAAAAAATGTAAATATTGGTGAAAATAAAAATGGTATTGTCATTTTCACTGAGTAGAATATCACTTTTGCCTGGAAACTACGAAACGCGAACTACGAAATCTATGTCTCGATCATTTATAAACAATGATCAAAATATAATAAATAGAATATTTTGTTAATGTTGTCAATGGTTACGCGAACTCGTGAACATATCAACTTTTTCAGACCACTCGATGACATATACATTTTATTTGACAACATTAACAAAATATCCTCCATGTCTTCTTTTTGGAGGTTACGGAAAGGGGCGAGTGGTGACGAATGACATTAAACATGATCGCCATCTTGGTTCGCTTGGCGAGGCAGCTGTGAGAATGATTTGCGTGCACGCGGGCACTCGAGCGGGCACAGGCGTTCAGGATCGGCGCTTCGCTAGCGTTCGCGGGCACTCGCGGTTCTGAACACGCCTCTGGTTGGCTGCGCATGCGTAGCAGGGAGGTAACTCCACGTGGTGGGGGCCCTATAATAAATAAAAAAGATTTTTATTTATGGTACAATATTTTTATTAAAACATTGATACAACTGTCACGACATTTTCAGTCGCAGAAAATGCATATATGTACCCCAAGGACGATCTCTATGAAAAGAATACAGAAGTCAATAGGTTTCAACACAACTCGATTAAAAAATATTTAAAAAGACCCAACATGTTTTGAGATATGAATATTGGAACAAGTCTCAATTATTAATTGCTTGAGTACATGTTATATCATTCATCAGTTATAGTGTAGATATCAGGTATGATGATATGGTAGGAGGAAGTTATGCAGGTTTTACATGATTTACACTTTGTTGGAACCTATGTGCACAGATATTGGTGCTGACAAACCAAGAAATATGATCAGGGGAATTCAGAGAATGAGAGTCACAATCAGGGCGATTCAGGGAATGAGAGTCACAATCAGGGCGATTCAGGGAATGAGAGTCACAATCAGGGCAATTCAGAGAATGAGAGTCACAATCAGGGCAATTCAGAGAATGAGAGTCACAATCAGGGCAATTCAGGGAATGAGAGTCACAATCAGGGCGATTCAGGGAATGAGAGTCACAATCAGGGCAATTCAGAGAATGAGAGTCACAATCAGGGCAATTCAAAGAATCACAGCCACAATCAGGGCAATTCAGGGAATGAGAGTCACAATCAGGGCAATTCAGGGAATCACAGCCACAATCAGGGCGATTCAGGGAATGAGAGTCACAATCAGGGCAATTAAAGAGAATCCACAGCCCCAATCAGGGCAATTCAGATAATAAGTAGAGCTGTGATGATATATCGTGTAGTTTCGATAATTGTGATACTTTATCCGACGATAAATATATCGAAACTTTTTTCGTGATCGTGATATATGTATCGTTGACCTTAAAATTATTAATTTTCACCTGAAATTGGCGGTTATGTCAAAATTTACACTGTTACTTGCTACCAAAAATATACATTTTGAAAAGAAAATAACTAAAGATAGCTTATCAGTGATATGCATCGAATCAAATCGTGATCGTTCCAAGATATGCATAATGCGTATCGTATGGTGGTGAAATTTCTGTATGGAGCACACCTCTAATAATGAGAGTCACAATCAGGGCTATTCAGGGAATGAGAGTCACAATCAGGCCAATTCAGTGAATGAGAGTCACAATCAGGGCAATTCAGTGAATGAGAGTCACAATCAGGGCAATTCAGAGAATCACAGTCACAATCAGGGCAATTCAGAGAATCACAGCCACAATCAGGGAAATTCAGGGAATGAGTCACAATCAGGGCAATTCAGTGAATGAGAGTCACAATCAGGGCAATTCAGTGAATGAGAGTCACAATCAGGGCAATTCAGAGAATCACAGTCACAATCAGGGGCAATTCAGAGAATCACAGCCACAATCAGGAAATTCAGGGAATGAGTCACAATCAGGCCAATTCAGAGAATGAGAGTCACAATCAGGGCAATTCAGGGAATGAGAGTCACAATCAGGGCAATTCAGAGAATCACAGTCACAATCAGGGCAATTCAGAGAATCACAGCCACAATCAGGGCAATTCAGGGAATGAGAGTCACAATCAGGGCAATTCAAAGAATCACAGCCACAATCAGGGCAATTCAGGGAATGAGAGTCACAATCAGGGCAATTCAAAGAATCACAGCCACAATCAGGGCGATTCAGGGAATGAGAGTCACAATCAGGGCAAGTCAGAGAATCCCAGCCACAATCAGGGCGATTCAGGGAATGAGAGTCACAATCAGGGCAATTCTAGGAACTGAACGCACTATTAGTATTAAAGGATTCTGGGCTAGGTTGGAGAAGCAACTTGATGGGCAAGCTGCAGTGCCCAAGAGGACTGGCCAGCCATTTGCCCCATTGTAGCAGGTTCAGATATAATGATAAACAACATAAATAACGGTACTGTGAACTGGGGTAAAGTTTGGAAGGTTAGACAGGTACAATTTACAGAAATCATTATGCGACTGATACTTACACATGGCTGACAAAACCAGTTTGGAGGTTTGGCATTTGATAAATAATAACAATTAGGACACTGCTGAATTTCATCCAACTGAAAAACAAGCAAAACATAATTAAAGCTTCAACCTTGAATTTGCTTAAAGAAAATGATGAAGGGAGGGAGGGATAATAAACAATCAATGGTGGCATATGATTCAGAATACAATGAACAGGTGACAAATCAGATGATGTGGGTTGTCTACTTTCCATGGAGCTGAGAATGAAAATCAACTGCACACAAACCCACTGACCAGGGTAATAACGGTTTTGCTGTTTGTGCTTACATATGAATGGAGCTAAGCTGTAGTTTCTGTGTAAGAAGACACAAATATAATGCAGAGCGAAAGGCATTCTTAATTATCAAGTCTTATCCATTACTAGATATTAATATATACCCAGGAACTGTTCACACCCAAACCTTAATGTTTAGGGCTGGTTTGAATGACATGATGCTACAAACATATCATTAAGCAAGCAGTGAAATGACCGGTACTCATCAAAGGGGTTGTACAGGGCAATTCCGCCAACTTGAGTCACTGACAACACAGAACTGGTGTGGGATAACCATACCAATTCCATGAACATGTTGAACTGTATTTCACAGTTACTGTTTTTCAGTGATGCCAGTCTTCCATGTTCATTACTTATGTGACACCCACGAGTAAGGTCTTGGAGCTGACAAATGAAGAAACCTTGTTTGGGCAAATCTGGCGCCAATAACAGGTATATGTTGTAACTAAGGGACATAACTCTGCACAACAAACTACACTGTGTATGACTTGGCCACCTGTACTCTTAGTATAGGTACTTAGGGTGACTTTTAAATGACTACACATTATAATGGTGATGGGCTACTTACATCATATTTACAATCTCTTATCATTATTCTGGCAAGTTCAGCCATTCCACCTTTTTTCATCTGTAAACAAACAGAAAGGCTGATTATATATTTATGCTAACCTGAAGCAAAAACTTCACAACATCTGAAAAACCCCTGAACAAATATCTGTGATAACATCTTCCAATAATTTGGCCAAGTTGAAAATGGAAATACGCTACTTTAGAAAATCGTTCTTCAAAATGACCAGGCAATTATTTAGTAGTCTCTCATTCCTCATTTGAGTCATCTTTTACCACAAGGATATGGTTCTGGATACCTCTGTCTACCGAGTCTCCATTAGAAACAGAGTGGGTTTTTCTCCCACACTGCTTTGAAGAATATTTCATTAACAGTATGTCTGACTGACTGACTGACTGAGTTTTAGTTTTACGCCGCTTTCAGCAATATTCCAGCAATATCACAGCGGGGGACACCAGAAATGGGCTTAACACATTGTGCCCATGTGGGGAATCGAACCCGGGTCTTCGGCGTGACGAGCCAACGCTTTAACCATTAGGCTACCCCACCGCCCCCATTAACAGTATGTCAGCATAACACGTCAAGAAGGATGCAACCAACACTTGCGTTAAGCTTACGAATGAGGGAATATTTTGTTCATTTTCTGCTATATGTCAGAAAAGTAAAGGTATTGGATATTGGAAATGGTCTTCACTATTTTGTTTCCATGTTAGGTGACTTTTGCCCCATATTAAAACATATTTCAACTCACCTCCATATAATAGAAAGACATTATGAAGCACGTTTTGGGCATCTGCTAGGAACTCCTCAAGGCACTTGTATTTTTTGGCCTGAACCTTGGTTTCCATGGTGTTGAGATCCATGGGCATGTAGAGGAAACGGTTAAACTCCTCTGTGTGGCCAATTCGATGTAGTTCTCTTGTCTGCAACAGTTAGCTGTACTACTGTAGTTTGTGAACATCGGGGAAAGGCCACACATGCTCAAGATGCATTACTGGAGTGACATACAGCACGTTGTATACACATTTACATACAAGAAAACAGCTTAATCAGCTTAAAATGTTTCCTAAAATAAGTCCATGCAAAACTTCATATATAACTACAGTCACCAACATTCATCAATATTCCAGCTATAAGAAGGGATATAAATAATCAATTCTGGACAAGACAGATCTATTGTCGATAATATTACATCCAACATCATGATGACATGCATTCAACCAAGATGAACCACCCAGTTTGTCTGACCATCCAGTCACTTATTCTGACCACGCAGTCACTTATCTGACCACCAAGTCACCTGTCTGACCACCCAGTCACTTGTCTGACCACCCAATCACTTGTCTGACCACCCAGTCACTTGTCTGACCATCCAGTCACTTATTCTAACCATCCAGTCCCTTGTCCGACCACAAAGTCACTTATTCTGACCACCCAGTCCCTTGTCTGACCACAAAGTCACTTATTCTGACCACCCAGTCACTAGTCTGACCATCCAGTCCCTTGTCTGACTACATTGTCAACATAGTCTGACCACCCAGTCCCTTGTCTGACCATCCAGTCACTTATTCTGACCATCCAGTCACTTATTCTGACCATCCAGTCCCTTGTCTGACCACAAAGTCACTTATTCTGACCATCCAGTCCTTGTCTGACAACAAAGTCACGTATTCTGACCACCCAGTCACTTGTCTGACCATCCAGTAACATATTCTGACCATCCAGTCCCTTGTATGACCACCAAGTTACTTGTCTGACCATTCAGTAACTTAGTCTGACCACCCAGTAACATGTCTGACCAACCAGTCACATATTTTGACCACCCAGTCACTTGTCTGATCACCAAGTCACTTAGTCTGACCACCCAGTAACATGTCTGACCAACCAGTCACATATTCTGACCACCCAGTCACTTGTCTGACCACCCAGTCACTTGTCTGACCACCCAGTCACTTATTCTGACCACCCATTAACTTTTCTGACCACCCAGTCCCTTGTATGACCACCCAGTCCCTTGTCTGACCACCAAGTCACTTGTCTGACCACCCAGTCACTTGTCTGACCACCCAGTCACTTGTCTGACCATCCAGTAACTTGTCTGACCACCCAGTCACTTGTCTGACCACCCAGTCCATAGTCTGACCACCCAGTCCCTTGTCTGACCATCCAGTCACTTATTCTGACCATCCAGTCACTTATTCTGACCACCCAGTCCCTTGTCTGACCACAAAGTCACTTATTCTGACCACCCAGTCACTTGTCTGACCATCCAGTAACTTGTCTGACCACCCAGTCAATTGTCTGACCACCCAGTCCCTTGTCTGACAACAAAGTCACGTATTCTGACCACCCAGTCACTTGTCTGACCATCCAGTAACTTGTCTGACCACCCAGTCCCTTGTATGACCACCCAGTCCCTTGTCTGACAACAAAGTCACGTATTCTGACCACCCAGTCACTTGTCTGACCATCCAGTCACTTGTCTGACCACCCAGTCCCTTGTATGACCACCCAGTCCCTTGTCTGACAACAAAGTCACGTATTCTGACCACCCAGTCACTTGTCTGACCACCCAGTCACTTGTCTGACCATCCAGTAACTTGTCTGACCACCCAGTCAATTGTCTGACCATCCAGTAACTTAGTCTCACCACCCAGTAACATGTCTGACCGCCAAGTCACATATTCTGACCACCCAGCCACTTGTCTGATCACCAAGTCACTTGTCTGACCACCCAGTCCCTTGTCTGACCACCAAGTCACTTAGTCTGACCACCCAGTCCCTTGTCTGACCACCAAGTCACTTGTATGACCACCCAGTCCCTTGTCTGACCACCCAGTCCCTTGTCTGACCACCCAGTCACTTGTCTGACCATCCAGTCCCTTGTATGACCATCCAGTCCCTTGTATGACCACCCAGTCCCTTTTCTGACCACCCAGTCACATATTCTGACCACCCAGTCCCTTGTCTGACCACCAAGTCACTTGTCTGACCACTCCAGTCACTTGTCTGACCACCCAGTCACTTGTCTGACCATCCAGTAACTTAGTCTGACCACCCAGTAACATGTCTGACCAACCAGTCAGTCACTTATTCTGACCACCCAGTCACTTGTCTGATCACCTAGTCACTTGTCTGACCACCAAGTAACATGTCTGATCACCCAGTCACTTAGTCTGACCACCCAGTAACATCTGTCTGACCATCCGGTCCTTGTATCTGGCTCGACCACCCAGTTACTTGTCTGACCATCCAATAACTTAGTCTCACCACCCAGTAACATGTCTGACCACCCAGTCACATATTCTGACCACCCAGTCACTTGTCTGATCACCCAGTCACTTAGTCTGACCACCCAGTAACATGTCTGACCAACCAGTCACTTGTCTGACCACCCAGTCACTTTGTCTGATCACCCAGTCACTTGTCTGACCACCCAGTCACTTATTCTGACCACCCATTGCTTTTCTGACCACCGGTCCCTTGTCTGACCCCAGTCACTTGTCTGACCACCCAATCACTTGTCTGACCACCCGGTCACTTGTCTGACCATCCAGTGGTAACTTGTCTGACCACTCCACTTGTCTGACCATCCAGTAGCTTAGTCTCACCACCCAGTAAACATGTCTGACCACCAAGTCACATATTCTGACCACTCCAGTCACTTGTCTGATCACCCAGTCACTTAGTCTGACCACCCAGTCCCTTGTCTGACCACCAAGTCACTTGTCTGACCACCCAGTCACTTGTCTGACCATCCACCCTTATTCTGACCATCAGTCCTTGTCTGACCACCCAGTCACAGTCTGACCATCCAGTCCCTTGTCTGACCACCAGTCCTTATTCTGACCACCCAGTCACTTTGTCTGACCATCCAGTCCCTTGTCTGACCACCCAGTCACTTATTCTGACCATCCAGTCCTTGTCTGACCACAAAGTCACTTATTCTGACCACCCAGTCACTTGTCTGACCACCCAGTCCCTTGTCTGACCACCCAGTCCTTGTCTGACCACCCAATTATTCTGACCACCCAGTCACTTGTCTGACCATCCAGTCACTTATTCTGACCATCCAGTCCCTTGTCCGACCACAAAGTCACTTATTCTGACCACCCAGTCCCTTGTCTCACCACAAAGACCTTATTCTGATGACACACAGTCACTTTTGTCTGACCACCCAGACCATCCAGTCCTTATTCTGACCATCCAGTCCTTGTTCGACAACAAAGTCAATATTCTGACCACCCAAGTCACTTGTCTGACCACCCAGTCACTTGTCTGACCACCCAGTCACTTGTCTGACCATCCAGTAACTAAGTCTCACCACCCAGCAACATGTCTGACCAACCAGTCACATATTCTGACCACCCAGTCACTTGTCTGATCACCAAGTCACTTGTCTGACCACCCAGTCACTTGTATGACCATCCAGTCCCTTATTCTGACCACCCAGTCACTTGTCTGATCACCAAGTCACTTGTCTGACCACCCAGTCCCTTGTATGACCACCCAGTCACTTGTCTGACCACCAAGTCACTTGTCTGACCACCCAGTCACTTGTCTGACCACCCAGTCACTTGTCTGACCACCCAGTCACTTGTCTGACCATCCAGTCCCTTGTATGACCACCAAGTCACTTGTCTGACCACCAAGTCACTTGTCTGACCACCCAGTCACTTGTCTGACCACCCAGTCACTTTTCTGACCACCCAGTCCCTTGTATGACCACCCAGTCCCTTGTCTGACCACCAAGTCACTTGTCTGACCATCCAGTCCCTTGTCTGACCACCCAGTCACTTGTCTGACCACCCAGTCACTTTTCTGACCACCCAGTCCCTTGTATGACCACCCAGTCCCTTGTCTGACCACCAAGTCACTTGTCTGACCACCCAGTCACTTGTCTGACCACCCAGTCACTTGTCTGACCATCCAGTAACTAAGTCTCACCACCCAGCAACATGTCTGACCAACCAGTCACATATTCTGACCACCCAGTCACTTGTCTGATCACCCAGTCACTTAGTCTCACCACCCAGTCACTTATTCTGACCACCCAGTAACATGTCTGACCATCCAGTCACTTAGTCTCACCACCCAGCAACATGTCTGACCACCCAGTCACTTATTCTGACCACCCAGTCACTTATTCTGACCACCCAGTAACTTGTCTGACCACCCAGTCACTTATTCTGAATGTTTTGAGTCTTGATTTAAAGATGGTGATGGAAGGAGACTTGACATGGAGAGGTAGTGAGTTCCAGAGGGAAGCTGAAAGATCTGCCGCCAAAAGTTTGCAAGTTGTATTTTGGGACACTGAGAAGACCTTTGTCTTGAGATCTGAGAGACCGCGCACGAGTGTAGGGTGTTATATGATCTTGCAAGTAGGAGGGCGATGAACTGTTTAGTGCTGAATATACAAGAGACAGCGTTCTGAATTTTATTCTTTCGCGGATGGGAAGCCAATGGAGTGAATTTAGTATGGGAGATATGTGACATCTGGATTTGGTTCTAGTGACAAGTCCTGCTGCGCTGTTCTGGATCTTCTGAAGTCTGTCTAGTTGTTCAGAAGTGATGCCTGCACAAAGACTATTGCAACAGTCCAGCCTGGATAAAAATAGTGTTTTCCCCTGTGGTAAAGAATCTTGGTGTTTATCTAGATTCAGGTCTCAACATGGAGCAACATGTCACTCATGTGTGTCATTCCTGCCACTTCCATCTCAGGAACATTGGAGCCATACGCCATCTCTTAACAACTGATGCTGCTGCCACTCTGGCAAGATCCCTGTTTGTATCTCCAATCCTGATGTTAGGAACCTGGCATTTCTGTAGCGGGAATTCGGAGCAATAAGGATAGGCTCGGTTTTATCATCATTTAGCACCAGCTTGTTTGATGTCATCCATGATCTGACATCTGAAAGACATCGTTCCATTTTCAGACATGTCAATGACTGGTTATCCTGGTCTAAAGTATAACTGTCAGACAGCTGAGTGTCATCAGCGTAAAAATGGTGATTTGTGTCACGATCCCGGATGAGCTGTCCAAATGGCCTGGTGTACATGGTGAACATCATTGGGCCTAACACCGATCCCTGGAGAACACCACAGGAGATATCGAGCTAAGCTTGTCTGACATTGTCTTGATGATAAGAATGGATTGTGTCCTCCCTGTCAGATATGAAGAACACCATTGCAGAACATTTCCACGTATCCCATACTGGTGCTGTAGACGATCGATGAGCTTCTGGTGGTCGATAGTATCGAACGCTGCCGATAAGTCTAATAAGATGAGCATTGCAACCTTGCCAGATCAACAGACATTCTGATTCGATCCAAGACATAGTTCAGAGCTGTTTCTGTGCTATGAGCATCTCGATACGCGGACTGGAACTTCTCCAATAAGTCGTTGTCTTCAAGGTGTTCAAGTAGCTGTGTTTTTACCACTTTCTCAAAGATCTTTGAAAGAAAGCTTAAATTTGACACAGGTCTATAATTCTTTAGTACTTGCACGTCTAAAGATGACTTTTTGATCAAAGGTTTCACCACAGCGGCTTTGAAGAATGTAGGTACCTCACCACTGAGAATACTAAGGTTCACTATTTGGGTTATGGATGGCAGAAGTACATCAAGCATTTGCAGCATGGAATCTGTTGGAACTGGATACAATTTGCACGTTGTGTGCTTAGAAAAGTTGATGAGTTTTAGCAAATATGATTCACTGACAGGTCGAAAGGCTTCAAGGTCTTGACCACTGTATTCCTTGTCTGACCACCCAGTCACTTGTCTGACCAATTGGTCACTTAGTCTCACCACCGAGTCACTTAGTCTCACCACTATGTCACTTAGTCTGACCAATTGGTCACTTATTCTGACCACCCAGTCACTTAGTCTCACCACTGAGTCACTTAGTCTGACCAATTGGTCACTTATTCTGACCACCCAGTCACTTAGTCTCACCACTGAGTCACTTAGTCTGACCATTTGGTCACTTATTCTGACCGATAGGTCAGTTTGTTGAACCACGTCAATTAGTCTGACCACCAAATCACTCAGTCTAACCAGTAAGTCCATTTGGTCACTTCTTACTATGAGCAAAGGTTACCTGAAACATATTGAACCTGCTAACCCCACAAGGACAAATTTTGCTGAGGTAAGACTAACTAACAGCGTTTGGCTTACCTTCTCTTTGAGACGTAGCACAGTGTAGCTCAGTAAAGTGTTGAGCAGCTTCTTTTTGATTTTGTTTCTCTTTTTACCTGCCTGGAAAAATGACAACATAAATATCTCATACACCCTCACAAAATGAATATCTTACTCTGCTCAAACTGCTACATGAACATAATAAAAATCTCTCTGCTACCATACATGTCGGCTGTAGCAATCACATCTACAACTCTGTATAACTGGTAAGGACTGAGAGACGTTTTTATCACACCGTAATATTTACTTCCTTTGACATTACACCAATATATACTCTATTCTTAGTTTGATCTTATTTACCACCAATAATTTATTCAAAATGACATGCTCTGTTTATAAGGATTTGGTATTGAAAACCTACAAGTATGATGATTTACATTCTAAATTTAAATGCCAAACCCAAAATTGTTCATCCTGATACGGAATGTGTCACTGTCTGTTCAGACATAATACTGCAATCCCAATATAAGCACAAGCAAATGACCAAATATCCCCACCTTTGTATGCTAAAAGGTACACCATGATCTCCCATCATGCATTCATAATATGATTTAGAACCGTTAGATGTTACCAGCCAGCTCCTACCATAATGTCACCACTGTAAATTCAAAACACGACACAAACAAAACATGTGGCTACCTGTAATTGGTAGCTAATATTCAGAAATGAAGGCCTTCCTTTTTTTGTTGTTGCTAGGTTTACACATCTGCAGATCATAACACTAATTTTAAAAATTTAAATAAACAATAAAATAAAATCAGAATGACAAGGATTTAATTTTACCACTTTGAAAATAGAAATGACAATAAAAAGAAACCGTCAGATATTACACATATAATCTCTTTATGTTCATAAGCACTCAAACCAGGGCTTAACTAAAAAACAATACACTCACTGATCCAAATCACATTTGAAGATGATTTGAAAGATTCTGTACAATTATTTTTATAAAACAATCAAACTGACCAAATTCAGTTTACTTTTACTCTATCAAACTACATAAAACAAACAAAACAAATGTCTGGCCCAATGAACATTAGTTACCACAAGGTACCACAAACTACATGTGCAGAGGTTCCCTGTCATATAGACAGAACAATATCTGTACACATCATCTAGAGGTATTGCTTACAAAACACAGCAACCAGCCAGTAAACACCTACTTAGTCTGACCACCAAGACTAATATTTCATTTCTAGGGCACTGAACATAACTCCCACTTGACAAGGACTACTTCACCACTATACAGGCAAGTGCAAATGTGCAGTTATTGGTGATAAATAGAATGATGGTTAGTAAACAATCATAATGTAAATATATTTCTCAAAGAAACTGCAGCAATGCATTTGAAGAAACCATGGCAAAGTCATGAAGATGGTGTATATTGAGGGGCAGTTTCCCTGACAGACCAGTAAGTGCATGCAAAGTAGATGAGCTGGGTGAATGGCTGTTGGAGGAAGTGCATATGGTTGCAAAGTACTTCTGTTCCCAATGGCTAATACTTTGTTGGAGGAATTATGTTTAACACTTGAATTTCATAATACATAATGAAGCATTAAGGAGATTTGTAATAACCATTTTTACCATAGGTAAGTCATTTCCTTGCTTGATATATCTATGTCCTACTGTTATTTTATTTTACCTTAAGTAATTCATTTCTATGTTTGAAATATCCATGTTCTACTGTTATTTTACCGCAAGGAATTCATTTCTACGTTTGAAATATCTATGTCCTACTGTTATTATATTTTACTATACTTAAGTCATTTCCATGCTTGAAATATCCATGTTCTACTGTCGTTTTGTTACTAATGTAAGGGCGGACTCACAGGGTCGGCCTGTTGAATGGATATGCCGAATTTGACAGAGTCATATCGTTCGAGTGATTAATTGAATTAACGAGTACAAATCGACTGCTCGAACCCGCATCGATTGTGTCACAAGTTCTTTAATGAGATGATTGCATACTCTGTGCATGTTCATGACGGAGAAACCAATCTTTCATCAACAACTTCTCTTTTTCTTTGCTTGGGCATTGCCGTTTTCTTCACATAGTATGGCGCAGCAGATAACTGCTGCTGAGTGAGCTTCAGACATTTTGATACCATGGAAACAAAATACTGCGAGATATCATGAGATCAGCAGATCGAATCGTGTGAGAAGTAGCAAATCGATCGGTCGATGTTCATTACAACCACCGAACATGTTACACAATGTATGAAAATTGGCAGGTTGTTATGATGTGCCAACCCATGTGTGTCGCTTAAGTCTTTGTCCACATTTGAAGTAACTATGTTCCTCTGTCACTTCCTATTACTGTTACTAAGTCATATCATGTTTGTAACAACTTTGTTCTACTGCCATTTCTTATTGCCATTAATAAGTCATACCCATGCTTGTAACAATCATATTCAACAGCTGTTTCTTAATACCATTAGTAAGCCATTTCCATGTTTTTAAAATCTCTGTTTTACCATATTTTTTCTCCATACAAACTATCATGATGACTATTATCAGATGAAAACAATATTTGTCAGGAGTTGTGAGAAAACATAATGACAAGATTTAGTGTGCTTTTTACAGAACAATATTCAGAAAATTGAGATTTAGCCATTGTTTCAAGCATTGCATTTGTTGGTGAATACAATGCAGTGTTTGAAGTGTACGAAGTTACTGGCATAACCGTTATGTAAAAGGTGAAGAATTCAGGAGGTTGATAAATCATGTCATTTCAAACAAAGGAACTAATCTCATAGAATCCTGGACTCCCCTGACTTCAAACACTGCACTGTATAATATGTGTATATATTTTCAAAGGGGTTTATACATTAAAGTTAGTACCAAATTTGACAATCCCAAAACACAACCAGCTAAACTTCACATGAACAAAATGACAGACAGGGACAGACAAGACTATAGCAAATGGAAACAAGGCATTGCAAATATTTCACATTACCTCAGTCTCCTGTTGCAAAGAAAACAAGAGGTTAATAGTTTAGATAAAACAAAAACATGCAAGATAATAAGATTCACATCACAGGTCTGTGGAACATTATTTCACCTGGACTTGAAAATAGCATTTGAGAGGAGTGAGCATTGTAAGAACTAGGTTAGGCTTTTATGTGGATTTGCTTATGAATATGAAACAATACATATGTATAAATGTATATATAAATACAAGTGCCAATGTCCATAGCAGGCATACATTAACTTCCATTTCAAATCAGCTTCTCCTGTCATAAAGTACATCATAGTATTAGGAGGCAAACAAGTATGCTATTTTGTGGTGCTTTGCAGTATCTTCTAGCTGATGGCTAGAGACACCAAGAACACGCTATCCACATTGTCAAGCAGATATTATTTTTTGATCAAACAGTATTTTCACTTGCTCTTTCAAATTTGATAATCCTTTAAATTTTGGATTTTTTTCTGCCTGTTTGGAGATTAAATCATGTTCTTTCTCAACAAACCCACCCTCCCCCCAAATTCTAATTAATTAAATTAATTCCATCTTTAGTTTTCACCACTTGCTTCAACATGGCTGAAACAATGACGATGAGCATACTGTGATGTTAAACTTCTCTTCACCATGTTCACCCTGGGCTTGAACATAGTTACCACTGTATTAGAAGTGAGTGAGTTTGGTTTTACGCCACTTTTAGCAATATTCCAGCGATATCAGATATGGGCTTCACACATTGTACCCATGTGGGGAATCTAACCCGGGTCTTTGGTGTGATGAGCTGACTCTTTTACCACTATGCTACCCCACCGCCTCCTCTGTATGAGGAAGATGCAGCACACAATTAGCAATGTGATTAAGCATATGGGTGGGAGTCAAGTTTTAGCAAATGACTAATATAAAGATCTGATTTGAAATCACTGGCATATTGTATCATGTAGGACATTTCATACAGCTCTCAAAATATATGATACAGTACAACACACTGACAGGACATTGGCACTTATCAAATAATCACGCTGTTCATTAATTTACATATTTGTTACAGGAGCTGTAACAAATAAGGTACAAATGTAATTTTTAGAGTAAAATTGATATTTTATACTTATCCTGACTCATGCTCTTTTTGCTTGTCTTCTTCTTCTTGCGAACATAGTGGAACACTTGTATCTCCCTAATTGAAGCTCCCTTCAATGTAAAATCACTAATTAGTACTCAGCACGAGTTACCTCCCTTCCACAAGCGCGGGAACGAGGGCGCCACCTCCACCCATGTGCCTCACTCTCTCCTCATATACTGAGCCCAACATTTGAATTTACAGGGAAATCCAAAGTGTTATGTGGGGAGGATGGGAGGGCTTACCTCATGAGTCAGGATAAGTATAAAATATCAATTTTACTCTAAAAATTACATATTTTTCCTTATCCTGACTCATCTCTTGCTTGTAGACTCCGGACCAGGAAGGGAGGTGGGAAATATATAATACTTTGGATTTTAATAATTAGTGATTTGAACTGTGATGATTGTAATAACCCTATGGGAACTTCATAAAGGTACTGAACTGATGAATTCCTGCTGCTAACTTATCAGCTGCCATATAAAGGTTATTACAATGTACTTATTATGATAAAGTATATATAACATTAATACAATGCTTAAGACTAATAGACTTAAGCTTGTTAATATGCTAGTATAAACTCCTTAGAGTTTGTTAGCTAAAATACTTTAAGATATAAACATAGTACTAAGCTTAAGATATGATTAAACTTAAGCTAATTATATAATAGCAAAACTCTTTAGAGTTTGTTAGTTAATATACTTATATGATATAGATATAATGCTGAGCTTTAGATATGAATAAGCTTTAGCTACATATATAATAGCAAAACTCTGTAGAGTTTGTTAGCTAATATATTTTTACAATATGAGTATAGTACTGTGCTTAAGATATAATTAACTTAAGCTACATATATAATAGCCAAAACTCTGTAGAGTTTATTAGCTTATAGATTAATAATGTAACCATAGTACTAAGCTTAAGATAAGATTAGACTTAAGCTAAATGTATATAGCAAAAAAAACTCCTTAGAGTTTATTAACTAATATACTTTTATGTTATAACCATAGTACTGAGCTTAAGATATAATTAAACTTAAGCTATATATATAATAGCAAAACTCCGTGGAGTTTTGTTAGCTAATACATTTTATAATGTAACCATACTGCTTAAGATATGATGAAACTTAAGCTAATTGTATAATAGCAAAAAACCCTTTAGAGTTTGTTAGCTAAAATACTTATATGATATAAACCTAGTATTGAGTTTATGAAGGAAACCTTAAGCTACATATATAATAGCAAAAACTCCGTAGAGTTTGTTAGCTAATATACTTATATGATATAAACATAGTATTGAGCTTTGATAGTATTGAGCTTAAGATTTGAAGGAAACTTAAGCTACATATATAATAGCAAAAACTCCGTAGAGTTTGTTAGCTAATACAAGTTATAATGTAACCATAAAGCTTAAATTATGATGAAACTTAAGCCAAATATATAATAGCAAAAAAACTCTTTTAGAGTTTTGATAGCTAAAATACCTATATGATATAAACATAGTACTGCGCTTAAGATATGAATAAGCTTAAGTTACATATAGCAAAAAACTCCGTAGAGTTTGTTAGCTAATACATGTTATAATGTAACCATATTGCTTAAGATATGATGAGACTTAAGCCAAATAGCAAAAACTCTTTAGAGTTTGTTAGCTAATATACTTATATGATATAAACATAGTACTGAGCTTAAGATATGAATAAGCTTAAGCTACCTATATAATAGCCCAAACTCTGTAGAGTTTGTTAGCTTATATATTTTTACAATCTGAGTATAGTACTATGCTTAAGATATAATTAAGTTAAGGTAAATATATAATAACCAACTCTGTAGAGTTGTTAACTTATATATTGTATGATGTAATAATCATAGTACTGTGATGATAAAAGAACTTAAGCAAATTATATATAGCATGTAGCTATTTAGTACTGTTATAAGATAAGTAGAAATCTGTAAGATTGACTTATCTTCTCGAGGAACTGTCAACTGTTGTCGCGAGGACCATGGGATCGAATTGGTGGATACCTGAGGCGTCCTCGGTGATGATATCTCTCAGATAATGGTTGGCAACCACCATATCGGATCTCAGAAAATAAACCCTCCATTATTTCAAATAACATTGTGTAGATCAATGCAGAAGTTAGCTCTAATATCATGAGTATTAAAAGCTCATGGAGGTCGGATTAGGTCCATCCGTCTTGTATGCACGTAGTATGACAGTTCTGATCCAAGCGGAGATATAGTGCGTGAGATTTCATTCTGCGTAAGTTGATGATAGAGGAAATAATCTGTTGTATTATTCCCTTCTGTTTGGTTCGGTGGAGATAAATTTACAGTGCTCTTGCTGGCCATCATTGATAGAATCATCGTATCATGAAGTCCAAGTATGTCATCCAGAAGGCGTGTTCATAAACCTCACTTGTGAGGTGTTGGAACACTATATTCAGATCCCAAGTTGGAGGGTGAAACTTCCGTTTTAATTCTCCAATCAGAAAGTTTAAGTAGGTTTACTAACCATCTAGTTGTGTTAGTAGCTTGATTATGAAATTCAGCTGTAGTCTGAGGCGGCTGTGGATTTAGATCCACTTGTATCCCGTCGTCTAGGTTATTAAGCTGCGAAGTCCTTGGCGATGTAGGTGCACAACCAGGTGTGTCTGTCCTCGTTGAAGTTTATGTAAAATTGCCTGACTGCCGTGCCTCGTCCTAACTTGACAGGGGAGGTCTCTAACCTGAAGAAAGCAGCCCAATCATGAAGGTTCAGATTAACTGGACTGTAAGGAGGCTTGCTCGTTCACTGATATATAGTTGTCACTTATAGCGTAAGTGTTGACCTGTGAACTAAGATCGACCTCTGCGTGGAGTCGTTGTCCAACAGCGGTCCAATCAGAACAAGGCATTTTGATTCTGTAGAATACCAGCTGTGATGTCACGGTGTAGCAGGAAAAAACCTTGTATAAAATCTTGCCGTCGTTGATATTAGCATAATCGTCGGTCTTCACCGTAGCTTCGAAGTTACCCAGTGACCACGTGTTTGAGGGTTAAAGGTAAGCGAAACCTCCGGTAGCGAAATACCTCGCTCTGTAATATTAATGCTGGGTAGGTTATTTTCCTGGCTGTCGTGAAAGTAACTTCAGTTTTGAATATAATTCGCGACTTTCTTATATAAAGGTACAATAAACTTGCAAGTTGTCAGCTTGTAGACTGTATACATGAATGTATCGTCATAATTGTAGAATTAAAGCTGAACTTGTTGTACATATTTCTTCTCAGAAACTTTGGCGATTATGAGTTATACTTCGCTGTAACAAGGCTGCTGTTCAATTTCGATATTGAATTGTCTGCAGATCTGCGTAATGGTCGCATGTAGATACTCGTATCGTAGTCCGGGATTGCATATTCTACCAATCTATACGGAAAGGTTGATTTCTGTGAAGATCTATGCAACGTCGTTGATTAATTAATATAGCGGCGTTCTGTGTTGTAAATAGCCTGTGCAATTGTCTTGGCGTAGGCTTATAGGCGGCATATGGCATACAGTTGATAGACAACTTATGCGATGTCTTGAAACGGACTGGCGAGTAGCTATATATGGCGAGTGGCTAATATATGGAGACCTTGGAGGAGAATTCCTCGGTGGACGCCCGGAGATTTGTGAAGCTCGAAGTATCAATCTAGATTTCCTGTGTGAGGTAGACTTGGAGCCACTTAGCCTTAGCGACCTTAGCGAAGGTATTGAGTCAGAGCCCGATCAGTATATATATAATATATGCGCTTGCCCATGAGCGACCTCTGTGTTCAACAGGAGTGAGTGAGTGAGTGTATTGTTTTCACGCCGCACTCAGCAATATGTGGGGGGTCGGTGAAGCGCTACTCCTCCGTGGCGTCCCTTGTAACTGGTGAGGCTCTAGCTCCCAGCGGAGGTGGCCTGGGACTTCCTAAGCGAAGTGTCTAGAAACCGATCAATATATGGCGTTAGCTTCATACAGGGTGTGGTTCTTGCTGGTTCTGCATAAATAGAGCCGAGTAGATCATCCTATCATCTTCAGAAGTCGGTGTCCACGAAATCTGGTGATAAGAATCTCATTGATCGTTCTAGATCTATTAATGCCAATAACATGCGCCTCTGGCGTTTGAACTATTATGGCTTTATGGTAGGCTGTGTCCACATACTGTGGCACCGCAGCAATCGAGTCGATTGGAGGTAAGGTGATGGCGTCTGCCTCGTCTTCCTTTATCAGGTATGTCTGCGCCGAGTTGCCACTCTTGGAAGGTGAAAGAGATCTAGGTTGTTTACCATCCAATATAAGTATCTCAGCGTCTGAGAAAATGATGCCTCCTTCATTTTCTATCCCAGCATCACTGATGAGAGGTTGATGCTCTTCTGATGGTGGACTGTGTATTTCTATCTCTATGTCGGGTGGCCTTCGGGGAGACCTGACTGTAGACTTGTGTGCAGACTTGTGTGGTGACCTGTGGGAGCGATCGGCGTGGTGATGTGCGAGGAGATCGGGCGGTTAATGGCGGCGGAGATCGT